GGGGGGGGGGGGGTTGGTGATGCTCCTGTGTCTCCTGCCCCTGCAGCTCCAACGAGACTCTCTCCTGTGTCATCATCTTCGTCATCGTTTACTACTCCCTGATGTCGGGTGTCATCTGGTTTGTCATGCTGACCTACGCCTGGCACACCTCCTTCAAGGCACTGGGCACCACCTACCAGCCACTGCTGGGCAAGACCTCCTACTTCCACCTCATCACCTGGTCCATCCCCTTCGTCCTCACCGTGGCCATCCTGGCCGTGGCGCAGGTATCGGTGCCCTGACCCCACGTCCCGGGGAGAGGAGGGTGGGGAGAGGGGGGGGGCTGCAGCCAACTGTCCCCCCCTGCCCTTGTCCCCATCTCCTCCAGGTGGATGGTGACTCTGTCAGTGGCATCTGCTTCGTGGGCTACAAGAACTACCGCTACCGGGCCGGCTTCGTCCTGGCGCCCATCGGGCTCGTCCTCATCGTCGGGGGCTACTTCCTCATCAGGGGTAGGTGTGGGCTGGGCCTGGTGTGGGGATGGGGACACCGTGGGCGTGTCCCTCCCCCTGACCTGCTGGAGAGCAGTGTAGGGGAAAGGGACCTGGGGGTCCTGGCAGACAGCAGGATGACCATGAGCCAGCAGTGTGCCCTGGTAGCCAAGAAGGCCAATGGCATCCTGGGGTGCATTAGAAAGGGTGTGGTTAGTCGGTCAAGAGAGGTTCTCCCCCCCCTCTATTCTGCATTGGTGAGGCCACATCTGGAGTATTGTGTCCAGTTCTGGGCCCCTCAGTTCAGGAAGGACAGGGAGCTGCTGGAGAGAGTCCAGCGTAGGGCTACAAAGATGATGAGGGGAGTGGAGCATCTCCCTTATGAGGAAAGGCTGAGGGAGCGGGGTCTCTTTAGCCTGGAGAAAAGGAGACTGAGGGGTGACCTCATCATATGTTTACAAATATGTAAGGGGTGAGTGTCAGGAAGATGGGATTAAGCTTTTTTCAGTGATGACCTGTGATAGGACAAGGGGTAATGGGTGCAAATTGGAGCATAGGAGGTTCAAGGTGAATATCAGGAAAAACTTTTTTCCTGTGAGGGTGCCGGAGCACTGGAACAGGCTGCCCAGAGAGGTTGTGGAGTCTCCTGCCCTGGAGTCATTCAAAACCCGCCTGGACGCCTTCCTGTGTGATGTACTCTAGGTGACCCTGCTCTGGCAGGGGGGTTGGACTGGATGATCTTTCGAGGTCCCTTCCAACCCCTATGATTCTATGATTCTATGACCCCCTCCTCTCTCCCCCCCAGGGGTCATGACACTCTTCTCCATCAAGAGCAACCACCCCGGGCTGCTGAGTGAGAAGGCAGCCAGCAAGATCAACGAGACCATGCTGCGCCTGGGTGAGCGGGGCGCCGTGGTTGCCAGGGGAATTTGGGTGGGATTTGGGGAGCTTTTGTCCCCCCCAGCTCCATCCCACCTTCCCCCGGGTGGCTGCAGTGGGGGACGAAGCCGTGGCATGGCCCTGGTGCAGCATTTTTGTCCTGGTGTCTCTGGGGTCTGGCTGAATGAAGGATGTCCCGTTTCTCTTCCAGGCATCTTTGGCTTTTTGGCCTTTGGCTTCGTCTTCATCACTTTTGGCTGCCACTTCTATGACTTCTTCAACCAGGCAGAGTGGGAGCGAAGCTTCCGGGAATACGTCCTGTGAGTGGGACAGGGAGTGGGACACTGGTGGCATCTGAGAGGGACAGGGACAGAGACAGGGCAATGGGGGCGCCCG